GAGAAGAGGAAGAGAGAACTCGATTTCTCTTTCCCTCTCACTGCCCACATCCTGACACCAACACCCACAGCTGGGACATGGGGACACTGCGGGGCTCAGGGCACAGGGCAGGCTCCTCAAGCCGAACCCACCCCTGGGGCTCTGCAAAGCCTCTTTGCTACCCGTGGGTGACTGTCACCCACCCGGGGACCCACTCGCTTGACCATCCCCGGTTCCTTCACCACCAGCCCTCAGCACTCAGCTCCAGGCACCCGGTGGCATCACCAGCCAAGCGGGCAGCGATGCCCGGGGATGAAGCCACCCAGCTAGGACAGCTGCTGGGGACAGCCCGCGGGTGGCACCTGGGAGTGCTCAGCCCTGCTCCACAGTAGCTGCAGGTCCATGGGACTGATCCCCACCACCCCCTGGAGCTGTCCCCGATGCACCCCAGGTGATCCAGCATGGCAGGGACAGCAGCTCGGGGCTGGGGGCAGAGCACTCGGTGCCACAGGGACCCCAGAGCAGCAAATCCCTGCCCTGGCACTGCCCTGACCCCCGTGGGCTCCCCTGTGCCCTGGGACCACCTGTCTCAAAGGAGGATGCTCCCCACGTGTGTGTGCGACCAGGGCTGTACCCGTGGGCACAAGGGAGGAAGAAGAGCTGAATCTGTGGGATGCAGGGGAATTTGGGGAGAGGGATGTCCCTCTGAGAGGTTCATGGGGGTTTTCAGGGGTCTGTGTGCAGCTGGATGGGGGTTTGGTGTCTCCGTGGGGCACTGGGGATTTGGGGAGGGGGGTCTGTCAATCTGCAAGGGGGCTCAGGGGGTGCTCGCTGTGTGTGAGGGCAGAACCCAGGGGGTTTTGGGGGGGCAGAGCATGGAGGCCACAGAGCTGCAGCTGGACAGACACTGGGTGGGGACAGATGGGAATACAGGGATGGGGACAGTGCCCTGCACACCTGGAGCGCTTGTGCTCTGCTAACAAGGGGGATCAGCCCCAGCCCCCAGTCCCAGGCTCTGTCTGTCTGTCTGTCTCCTGGGACTGCTCTGCCCCCGCATCCTCCACCCTCCCCCTCACATCTGGCCAGCAGCAGCTTATTTTTTCCTCCAGGGTTGCGACATCCTGAGCCACGGGATGTTTTTCCTGAGCCTGTGTTGGAACCCCCCGCGGGGGGGGGGGGGGGGGGGGGGGAGGATTGTTTTGGTCAGGGAACTCTGGTCACTGTGTCCTCCGAGCCATTGTCCCCAAGCGCAGAGAGGGGAGACCACGGAAAGCAAATCAGAGAAGGAAGAATGGATTCCTGCTGGTGATGGGAAGGGTGATGGAATCCCAGCTGTGTCTGGCTCTCCAGATCCTCCAGGGCTGGGCAACAGTGAGCACATCCCTGCCAGAGGGGCAGCTGGATCCTCTTGGGGCTGTAGCTACAGACCCCATCATCTCCTCAGTCATGATCTACAGCCAGGTCATCCTCCACTCAAAGCCCTGGGCGACCAGAGGATGGGGGTGCCACCAGAGCAGGCCTGGGGGCACAAGACTGGGGGTGCCCCTAGAGCATCCCCACTGCTGGAGCAAGGCAGGGGCTGAACCACCCCCCGTCAGCAGCAGCGGGATGGCCAGACCCCACCTGTGCCTCCCTTTTCCCACCAGAATAAATACCACTCATTCAGAAGAAACCATTTTATTATTTTTTTTTCCCAAAGAAAAAAAGCAATATAAATATTAGAGTATAAAACTTGCGTGTAACACATCGACGTTGGTCTATATGGGTATAAGAAGGATATAAGCATATATATAATATATAAGTATAATTCAATATTAGACACATTGAAAGGGCAAACGTGTTTCATTTCACGCACACTCGGAGCACAGACCACATGGAAAGAAGATACAGAGAAAATTGAAAATACTGATGTCCACAAGTTAGTTACTGCAATTAAAAATAACACGCCACTAAATACACGACACTCACTACGCTACCTCAGATTGCAGATTAAAAAGAAAATATAAAGACTACAATTCAGCTACAGCATTTCTAGAGGGGGGGCAGGTGGCAGCTGCAGGGGACAGGGTGGGAACCGCTCCCAGAGCAGCCAGCACCAGAGGTGGCTGGATCTGGATGAACCACGGAGGATATGCTCCTGCTGCCCTGGTCTGGGGAGGGGACAGGGGTGGGGAGAGCCTGGCTGAAAGGGCTGGATCTGCTCGGGTGAGTTACGTGTTAGTGATTAAAAAAGGAAAAAAACAACACACACCCCCTGGGAAACTCGGTGTGGCCCCCTCCGGGCCACCCCACAGCTCCTCTCCTGGCTCTGGCTGCACAAAGCTCCCATCTGCCTCCCCCGGGGGCTCAGAGCTGCTTTGCTATGGGAAGCTGGCCTGGTGCTTTGGTGATGGGCACATGGAGAAACTCTAATCCTCATCCTTCAATTCTGCCCGCAGGGCTCAAAGCCCAAAGCCAGCGGGAGCATCACCTCCTCCTCCAGGCTGGCCCCGCATGGTCCATGCGACACTCCCCCAGTCACTGCCCCCCACTTTGCAGCGTCACCCCCTGCTCTGGGGTCCCTCGTCTGGATCTGGTCCCCAAACGCCACCAAACAACCATCACTTACTCAGCCACCAACTCTGCACCAAAGCCATGCAGCGGCAGCTCCGCGGATCCCCCGCTTCGGGCGAGACCGCCAAGAACCACCCGACCACCCCAAACAACCTTTGGGGCCCGAACAAGAAGCAATAATGAGTTTCCCCACCCCGCCTGAGCCATCCCACCCCCTCCCACCCCTTCCCCAGGGCAGCCCGGGCGGCTGCCGGCGCGTTCACACCCCGTGGGCATGCGAGGACTTCTGCGGGTCCGTGGGGCTGCTGCGCTAGTGCAGGTGTGAGGTGAGGGACGTGCATGCAGACACCTGTGCAGACAGTGAAGCGTCGTCCCCGTGTCCCCTGCGCGGGGACCTGGCCAGGCCTGGCCGCGGGGCAGCGAGGCTCTCTTAGCCTTAATTCCATAAGAACATCGACTGTACATATAAATATTTACTGCAAAGAAGGTTTGAGATGTGTCTGCTCTTCGGAGACCCCTAGAACCGCCGGGGCAGCTGCCGCACACCTCGGCATGCTCCTCGTGGAATTCCCTGCCTCTCACACAGCAGGAGGGCTTTTTCCTTATCATATTTCAGGCCATTAGTGGTTACACATTAAAAAAAAAAAAAAAAAAAAAAAAGAAAAAATGCTTAGGATGCAGCTTTGCCATATTCCCTTTGACTCATGCAATATAAACACTTTTTTTTTTTTAGATGACAGGTAAGCAGGAACTGAAGCACTCCCTACCAACTTCCAAAATCCAAATTCCATCGCTATCATTGACTGGGGATGAATTTTACTAATGGAAAATTTAACAGCAAAGAACAGCATGGGCTCTAAGCTAAGAACTTCCTTTTCCTTTCCAAAAAATAGCTGAAGGGCTGTAAATTAAAAGATCCACATTAAAATTATTTACACTGGGCAAAGCCGAGCACAAGCCTTGTGCCTTTCTTGGACTAGCTGGGAGCAAACTGGATCCAAAGACGTGGCAAAAGACCTTCGGCCCTTGCATATTCTAATACCCAAGGGATTGTATAAAACATTATTCACAGGGCACTTGTTTGCGTTCGGTTTAGACTCCGGATTGGTGTTCATCATGAGACCTGAGAGCAGCGAGCCCCTGCTCTCAGCTCTGATGATGACCAGATACATTCGCAGCATTTCCTACTTTTGCACCACAAAAAAATTCACATTCGTCCTCCGGCCTGGGCTGTGGTTTTGGGGGGAGTGCTGGAGCCGGCTGCCCTGTAGCTCTAAGGTCTCCTTTTTCTTCTTCACTACTTCTTCTCCTTCTTCCCGGATTTCTTTTTGTTGCCTGCGGCGGGAGCGGCGTTCTTGGCGTCGCGCTTGCCGGCGGCGTTGGTGAGCGTGGCGTTGCTGCCCGGGATGTAGACGTTCTGCCGGTAGTCGGGGACGTGCTGCAGGGTGAACTGCGGGCCGTAGCGGGCACTCAGCCCCATCGTGCCATTGCCGCCGCCCAGGGTCGAGTTTCCATCAGCAGCTTCTGTGGGGAACGTCGGGGAAGGGGGGAAAGAGCAGGGCAGGATGTTAAAGGCAGCTGGAGACCCCCACCCCAAGCCCCAGCAGCCCCAAAGCCAAACCAGCATCACCCTTCAGCTCCCCACAGGGCAGCCTGGCACAGAACCCCCCCCAAAAAAAAGCTGCCCATTACAGACATATTGTGCAGTCGCACCATTAGCAATGCATTAAAGGAAATCCAATATTTATTTGTTTTTCCGCCACATTTAAAACCCTGCCCGCCGGTATTTTTCTCCAGCCAGGTTTATTCAGGGAGCAGAGCAAGGGAGCAGAGGAACAAAACCCCTCCCTTGCAATCCCACAAAATGGCTCTAGGAAGCCAAGCACGAAGGAAATCAATGCCAGAGCGTGTCTGATGGTCCAGATCTGGGAGCAGGGGGAGGGGAAGGCAAATCCATTCCTGTCGCTGTGCAAAGCTCCAGCACGGAGCGAGGAGTGGGAGGGGCACAGGGCCCCCCCGGGATGCTGGGGCCCTGCTGGATGCTGGAGAGCAGATGGAGACGGGGGGATGCACAGAGGCAGGGGGAGAACGAGCACGGGGGGATGGCAGGGCTGGAGTGATGCTGTTGCCATGAGCTGCTGCACGATCTGCTCCAGCCCAGCTGCCTGTGCACGGCTCGGGGTGGGATCCCTGCACAGCCCTGCTCAGAAATGGTTTGCTGAAATTCAGCCTTTGTATGAGAGACTGTGTTTCCCATCTCAGCCTTTAACTGCCTCGCACTCATGGCTGGGGCCAGGCCCTCCTGAAGGATAGAGACACCCGGAGGGCCCAAGGCAGAGCCCAGGGGTGCTGCTCCCTCCTTTCAGAGGCAGAGAGATTGTGGGAACAATGAAAAACAACGAGCAGAGGTGGTGATCTGGGTCCCCTCACATTTCTCCTCACTCCAGCCCAGCTCTGTGCACGCCTCTGAGCCGCCTTTGCTTTCCCCTAAGCAGATGGAGCCAGCCAAAAAGCTGGACAAAAAGCTGGAGCACATCCCACCATCCCCCTGAAACACGGCTGTGTACACATTCCCTTCGCAGGGGTCGGAAGGATGAGGCAACTGCAATTTGAAAAGTTGCAGCTGCTCTGTTGGAGCGGGCAGGGAGGAAAACACAGCGAGGCTGAAAACAGGCGTGATATTGTGCACCAGGGCAGGGCCATGGGGTGCAAACACAGTGACCCAGAGCGGGGAAATGCCTTTCACTTCCTGCTCTGGAAGCATTCCCCGCAGGAGAATTCTTCCAGAGTCCCCATGACATGGGCTCCAGACCTAGCAGGACCTGGTGCTGGGGAGATGTGTCTGTAATTAGTGATGTTTATTGCTAATCCTCACCCGCCTGAGCAGCAGCTCATTTCATTAACAAGCAACTCAAGCCCACACCCATGGAGGTGTTAGAAATGATCCCCATGGGATGGGATGACTGGAGATGTGCAGGGAGCATCTCACAGGTGGACCACTGTGGAAGAGGTTTTACAGTGAGTTCTGTGAGCCAGAGAGACGTTTGATAAGAGAATCCATGTTTGATAAGAGAATCCATGTTTGATAAGAGAATCCATGTTTGATAAGAGTATCCATGTTTGATAAGAGGATCCTAAAAGAATTTACCCCTAAAAGAATTTCCTACCAAGGTCGTTGACACAGAAACCAAGAAAGAAAGAAGGAGAAATCAGAGAAACCTGCAGCTGCCTGTTCCAATGAGCACTTTGTCTCTCGTGACCATAGAGTAAAGTGCAAACTCAGGAGTTTTGTAGGAATGTATAAAAAGCATGCAGGCTAGAATAAAAAAGTTTTGAAGCCTTCTGAAACTGGAGTGTGTTGCTTTGTATTGTCTCCGTCTCAACTGAAACGTACCACTTTAAGCTTACTAAATATGCTCTTTAGTCTAGTAACTGCAGGCCTAGCAAAACTACCCCAGCTAAAGAGAAAGAATACAAATTTCTACACTAAAAAATAAGAGATAAGAAAGACTCCTCAAACCTTATAACTGACAGGGCAGAGTGACCCAGGAGTTCTTTCTGTACTTTCTGCCAAAAACTGAGTACAAGTGTAACTAGCTGTAAATATAATGTGAAATCAGCAGAATGAATATGCATTAACCTATTGTGAAATTCTATGCATATAGAAATTAGTAAGGGTAATAAAAAAAGATTGAGAGTTCTCAAGAAGTGCACATGTCCATTGAAGGGCAATGAGTCCCCACATTCAATAATGCAAATAAACATACCCATTCCCTACAAATCTTTATTAAAATTGTGAAGTTTAATTTTTCATCCACGTTTCATTATGACAGAGGACAGCCTCCAGCCATGGGAGAATTGATTTTTCTGGGCTGTCCCAGCTGGAGTCAGCCCAGTGAGAGGCTGGTGGACTTGGGCACCTTCTCTTCCCTGGGTATTGCTGCCTGTGTCCCTCCAGAGCCATCCCAGGGTGTGGCAAGCACATTTCTCTCCCTCTTAGGATTTTTATAGATGTGCAGAGAGAAATGAAAGAGAAAACTATTTCTATTTCTGCTCCTTGTTTATCATATGTAGAATGTGTTTAGAAAATTGTTTACCTGGAGTGAGTGCTTGCTTAAATTCTAGCGAGGATTGTTTGAGCCTGATGGCCAGTCCAACCCACCTGTGGCTGGACTCTCACGAGAAAGTCACAGGTTGTGTTAAAGACAGAATCAGAGAAAGTAGTATGTAGTTTTAGTATCCTCCTTTTATATAGTATATTAATGTATTTTAACATAGTTATAATAAAGAAATAATTCAGCCTTCTAAACTCAGTCAGACATCATCATTTCTTCCCATTAGGTTCGCCTACATTTACAATACCAGGGCTCTAAGCAGTGAAGGGCTGGGGGTGCCAGCACCACCCAAGTCCCCATGAATTAACTTTGAGTCTCAGCACAGCTTCCAGCAAGGAGAAAAAGGCACTGGTGAAGTTCCCAGCCTGCCACCGGTCCTGGGTAAGGGCGGCCAGCTGTTTCTAGGTTACACTGACATTAAGGCTGAACAGAAGAGAGAACAGGAACAATAGAGGGTTATAAACAGGCACCGAGGTGCTCTTGCCAAGCAAAGCACTTGAGCTCTCCTTGCTGGAAAGGCCACGCTCAACCTCTACCAGCAGCCTGTCATTATCCCAAACGGCCCTAAGGAGGAAAACAAGAATTTGGGCTCTGGCAAAAATAACCAGCGAGTGGCTCCATGGCCCCCGTGGGCAGAGGAGAGGCCAGGGGCAGCCCCAGAGCAGGTGTGGCTGCAGCTGCTGCTGGGGCTTTCGGGGGACCCAGTATAGCGTGTCTGTCCCTGCTGGGGGACAGGGACCTCCCTGGGCTGCCTTTCTGGCTGCTCTCCCTCCAGCCCGTGGCACCCCGCTAAATTCCCACTGGAGCCAGAGTATTTTAAGGACAGGATGTCTGGCCTTGAGAGTCTGGTGTCTTGGAGCATCTGTGCTCCTTGGGCTGCCCCAGCAGCTGCCTCTGCCCATTCAGATGGCTCAAAACACTGTTTTTTTCATACTGTTCCAGCTGTAAGGCAGGAAGATGCAGAGGAAGGATGGATGGAAAGGGAGACAGAACCCTACAGCAAGGTCACAGCCCTGAGGGGAAAATCAGATCCCCACATACTCTCCCTTGTGATGGTAACTTAACCATCAGGGAAGGGATTTAATCCTCAAAGGACTGGATGGTGCAGCCTTGGCCTGGCACTGCCAGCACTGCCTCCTGCTGAAGCCAAGGAAAACCCCTGGCCCAGGTAAGGATGCACCCAAGGCATCACTGTCAGCCAGGTGCCAGCTCGGAGCTCAAACAGAGCTCGGTGGGCGACAGTGAAAGATCAGGATTATTTAAATGGCCAGGAAATCACACCCAGGGATGGGTAGCACAAAGCTTAATGGGCAATTAGCGCTGCCCCTAATCAAAGCCTGCTCCAATCAACACTATTGGCTTAAAGAGAGAGCAGAAATGAGGGACAGAGAGCAAGGACATGAAAACACTGTGCTGGAGGAAAAACTGCTGCTGGCTCCCCATCCACACATGCAGACAGAGAGAGCCGAATGGGATGGATAAGGGAAAGCCATTATCTGCAGGAGGGATTTGATTTCCATCAGGTCAGGAGTGTGGATTGGGGAGATTTGCTGCAGCAGGGCCCGGGGCTCCATGAAAGTCGCTGCTTAACCTGGAAGGGACCCGCTTAGCTCTGATCCTGGGGATTCTGGAGCAGCAGCCAGGAAAACAGCTTTATTTACCAGCAAGGAAACCGGATCTGGAGACACTGGGTGATGATAACCACATGCAACCCCAAGGGCTGTTTTTCCACGGCCGTTTTTCAGAGCAAAGACACATTTTCACGATGTTTCTCTCTCTTGACTGTAAACAGCTCCCTTGCCCCAGACCTCGTCCCCCTCCCCAGCCACGGCAGCTGTCTCCTGGTGTCTGCAGAGCAGCAAGTTCAGCTGCAGCAGCTTTCCAAGAAAGCAACAGCAAAGCCATTCCTCCTCCCTCAGATTCCTTCCCTCCCAACAGCTCAAAGGAAGCATCCCAAGCATTTTGCACTGGGTTTTATGGCTGTGCTTCTATTTTTAAATCAAGGGGGGAAAGACTTGGAGGTATTTATAAATAAAGGCTCTTTATCCATAGTGCTGCACAGAGTGATAATTGTCCTTGTTTTATACAAAGCCATGGAGACCGTGGGTGCATGGGAACATCCCTCCCTGCCCAAGGCTTCTGCACAGCCATAAACCAGAACAAACCAACCCAAAATGACCCCAAACCATCCTCCTGCAAAAACAACTGCAAGGAGGCAGCAGCAGCCAATGGGGGAGAAACCTTGGTGAGTCCATGCCTCAGCAGAGGGGCTCGGAGAGCTCCTCTGCACACAAGGTTTGCTGGGAATACTGAGTCAGACATTTGGTGGTTCCTTGGTCCAGCCTCTAGCCACACACAAACTTCCAGCCTTCCTTCCTCCTCACCTTACAGCAAGTGTAATTTACTGTGACTTTCTGGAACCAAGGAGTTCATAAAACATCATCTCCAGACTGGCTCTTTCATGTAACACAACCACAGCACAGCCAGATGGTGTAACACCATTTAGTACCAAGCAAACAGAGTTTGAGTGGAAGAAGTGTCCCTGTGTACAGGAAACGGGTATCTCCTCTGCCTGGATCCTTCCTGACCC